AAATCCACAAGACACCTCAGTTGAACCTCACTGAGACTTAAGCCGTCTGTCTACTTGCAAGGCCTGGCCCCGCCACACCTGTCTCTAGCTGCTCATTAGTGAGGCCAGACTGTTTTTCTATTGATGAACTTTAATCTGTATTTTTTGCTCAAGTTCTTCGTTTCTTTTTTTTTTTTTTTTTGTCTTTTTCCTTTTTATCAGTACCAGGGATCGAACTCATGACTGCCTGCTTGCAAGGCAGGCGCTTATGTCGCTAAGCTAAATCCCCAGCCCCTAGTTCCAAGTTCTTCATTTCATATGGGCACTTGCATTGTCTACTGTAATTCCTCCAGGACAACTCAGGCCTGAACCTATGGAAGAGCTCAGAAGCTGCTACCCAGTAGACAATAAGTGTAAAGGTTTCTGCCTTCTTATGGGGCAAGATAACCTCCTTTGGAGGTGTTCTTTTTCTAAATTCCTGTAACCATTTATAGAAAATTTGATGTGTAAAGTTTCTGATGTTTGAAATGTTCCCTCTTTGTGTGTGTTGGCCTTGAGTTACTAAGCAGTTTTGTGTAAGCCCCTTAGGGAAGGGTGTCTCTACTGCTCAGTGCCCCACAAACCACAGCATAAATATGGAGGATATGCCTTTAAGTGTTCTATTAGTGCAGACTTTGATGTGTTTTTTTAATGGAAAAAGTTCTTTCCTGGTTTTCAGGAAACCAAAACCATATCTCTAAAAAAAAGAGCGCACTCTCCATTGTTTTGCCTTTAACCTCTAAGTCAAGCCCCAGCTTTCCTTCTCAATAGTGTCTTTTCAGTCAAGAAAATAAATGGCATTCATAACCTTATCCATCATCAGCTGGGCAGAAGGTAACACATTATCAAGGGCCTCGGTAGAGTTGAGCCAAGGGTGATCCAACACTCCCTCAATGGTGAGTCTTTCTTCCGGTTTGACCTTCAGGAGCCTGTGGAGAAAAGAATAGGCTGCTATGCCCAGATGCCCCATTAAGAAAGCACCGCGAGTTCCAGGGCATGGCCCTCACCAGCTCTTAACTTCTTTTGATTACTTTTTTTTTAAAACTTCTTCTGACTTTCCACCAACTCCTACAGGTCTATGTCTTCTCAGTCCTTTGTTGTGAGACACTGTGTCTTGAGGTGGTCCACTCTGTACTAGACAGACATTTAAAATGGTACAAACAGGCTTAATCCAGTGAAACTTCAAACTGAGTTTTAGTGTTCACTAAGGTAATCTTACATGGTTTACAGTTACTAAGACCTTGAATCTCCACAATGAAATTTCTAAAACAATGGATTCTTTTTTGTTTTTATCAGTACCAGGGATCAAACTCACGACCACACACTTGCAAGGAAGGCGCTTATGCCGCTGAGCTAAATCCCCAGCCCCAACAATGGGTTCTAACTTACCAAAGAACTCAAAGTATTCTTGGTTAATACTGATGGTAAAATGAGTTGAGGGGTCCTATGAGGCTGAATGTTTCCTGAGCTCTGCAGCGCTATCTCCTTCCAACTACATCTCCTCCCATTCCAAGTGTCACAGTCAGGGCCATAGGCCTAATTGCCCTTTTCACTGCTGTGCAAACTCCTGGAGCATTCTGTACAAACACCTTTGAATTTCTAAAACAAGGATTATTTAAAAAAGAATCCCCCAAAGTCAAAGAAAGATAATGAGTGCTATTCTATGGACAGGAAATAAATTCTACAGAAAACTGGCAAAGAACCCAGAAAGGACATAAAGATTTTAGTTAAGGAATTGGACATATAGCATGGAAATAGAATGTCAAGACAGATAGAGATGCCAGGTGTAGTGGCACACACCTATAATTCAGCACTCAGGAGGCTGAGGGAGGAGTATCATTATGAGTTTGAGACTAGCGTGGACTACAAAAGTGAGCTCAAGGCCAGCCTGAATTGCATAGCAAGACCTGTCCTCCACCAGAAAAAAAAAAAAAAAAAAATGCAGATAGAGATTCAACCATTATCCCTATTCTCCCACCAAAATTTATTACTATATTTTAGAATAGTCCCTTTTTCTAGTCCTCAGTTGTCCCTAACAGGACAATCTCCCTTGAAAGGAAACAATCTCTACAGAGAAATGGTTGCACTGTCAGAAGATAATGACAGTACCGTTCTTTTAACACTTAATAGACCAAAAATGAGATACCAGTCAGTAATTCATTCATTAGAAATAAAAAAACAGTGCCCAACTTGGGTGGGTAGAAAAATTAAATGTATCTCAAATTCAGTACTGCTTTAATACTCCCAATACTATAAGTCTCTGTGACTCTGCCTCATCCATTCACTAGACCAAATTCTTAACTGAATCTTCCCAGTTTAATATGTATCAGAGCAACCAACTCTGACTGGGAAGACTGGAGAGTGGCCTCCAGACTTAACATAACCACACTATGACAGCATCCAAGAAAGGAAAAGCCAAACGTGTCATTATCATCTTGGTACCCCAGTTCAGTTCCTGGAATCAGATTCCTCTCCAGTGACTGGTTTACCTACATACAAGAACACATCCACATCAGGAGGTTTGCCACCTAAGGTCCTAAGTTTTTTGTACCAAAAATCAAACGTAGGACCTTGTGCTTGTCAGGCAGGCACTTACGCCACTGAGCTATATCCCTGGCCCTAGGGCCCTAAGTTAATGCCCACAGAGACTTGCTAGAGAGACCTGGGTTCTTAACTTCAAGAAACAGGTCTAGAGCTACAACAGGAAGAAGAAAAACTCCATTTTCTCTGAGGTGTAGACACTCACAACACTCACCTTGGGCCTAAGGGGTAAGATTTCTGTAATACTAAAACAAGAAGGAACCTAAGTAGGAAAACAAGTAACTCTCTCTACCCAGCATTTCCTTGGGCTCTACCGCCTTAAGGCCTTCTTAGCCTCCCCACCCAGCAGCCTGGGGACTTACTTCCTCACAACATCTTTGGCCATCTCTGAGATCTGGCTCCATTCTTCTTCCGGAAACTCAAAACTGCCTGTCATAATCTTTCTCCGCATATCTTTTGGGATAGTCCGGCTGTGATGTTTAGAGTAAAAAGGAGGGTATCCACATAGCATCACATAGATAATCACCCCTAGGGACCATAAGTCACAGCTCTGTAAAACAAAAAGAAAATGGTTACTCACAGCACAACCAGAACCTCAAAACATGACTCAAGAGTAACCCTAACATATGTAGGCTGACACCTCCAAAAATCACTTACCAGAGTTAGAACAGTTTGAAGACATCTTACGAGACCTAATCTTTCTCTTTCTTGGAGCTAGAGGATATTGAAATAGGACATCACTGAACTCCTTACCACTTTTTATTTTTTATTCGGAGACACAGTCTAAGTTATCCAGGCTGGTGTCAAACTTGTAATTCTCCTGCTTCAACCTCCCAAGCAGCTAAGATAAATTTTAGGCATACACTACCATGCTCAGCATTTTCTTTTCTTTTTCTCCACTTCCTCTTCCTCCTCCTCCTCTTCCTTCTTTTTCTTTCTTCTTCTTCTTTTTTTTTTGTTTTAGAGACAGAATCTTCCTGTGTACATCAGATTGGCCTTCAACCTACTCTGTAGCCCAGAATACCCTCAAACTTGTAGCAATCCTCCTGCCTCAGTCTCCATGTCCAGCTCTTCATATTTTTATATACCATCAACACTGTACATATGCACATCATCACACAAGGCCAGCTGGAGATAAAATGGTCATCTTTTTTCTCAATGCTTCAGCTCAGACTCATATCTAATCCTTGGGCACAGGTGTACGATACTATTCCCAGTCAAAGAAGTAACAGAACATAAACTAACTGGCTGTGAAACATGTATTGTGTCAACCTAAGTAGAGTTGAGGGCTCAGGAGAAAAGCAGCTAACACACATATAGGTTGAACCCATAATACAGCAGAAGCCATTTTGAAAAGACCCAAAGAAGTCTGACACAAAAGGCACTAAAAGGAAAAAGAAGCTATCTAAAAACACTACTTCAGTCATGAAGGACTCAGTCCATTTGCAAAACACTATATCGCTAGGGAAAGATGTTACAAAACAAAGAAAATTACCATCAACTACTATGTCAGTAGGTGTTAAGGTGATTATATGCCTGTACTCACTGCATAACTAATAAAGGAAGTTCAATGTAGCTCTAAATGCCTTGGGGCAAATGGGTTTGAATTATGACTCAGCCTACTACTGGGACTACACGTTCCTCATCAGTCACAGCTGTGTGCCTCTCAGAAAGCCTGAAAAGTGAGTGTCTCAAGCACTTGCACCCATGTATTGGCATCACGCCAGTGAATGTGGACACTGATGCATGCATGTTATTACAAAATTAGAAAAGGGTTCTTCAAAATGACTACAATCAAGCCAGGCATAGCGGATCATGCCTGAAATCCCGGCACCTTGGGAGCTGAGGAAAAAGGGTTTCAATTCACACTAGCGCTGGACAACTTAGCAAAACCCTGCCTTAAAATCTTAAAAAAATTTTAAAGGGGTTGGGAAGATAACTCAGTACAAAGGCCTCAGATTTGATCCTCAATGCCAGATAAAGAAGGAAGAAGATGAAAAAAGGAATCCAGATGTGTTATGTACACGTATCAGCTCCACACAAAGAATGTTAACAGTATGTATTACAAACATGTATTAATAAAAAAATCAATAAAAAGAATAGTGGAGCCAAAGCAGGTCTCCCAGCCTGTTTACCATCCTCAGCTCCTTCTCTGCCATCCATATCACCTCAAGTCCCCAAGCGGCATCATTTTTTCTGATCTCCAGGTCCTGCTTCCAGAGGCCTTAAACCATGAAACTCTCGTGCTTTAAAATAGAGATGCTCAATATATGGCCTATAGGTAGGAAACTATGATAGTATCAAGCAACATTTAGGAACAAATGCTGTATGCATTGAACACTAGATTTTGTTTACTGTCTTTGTTTTGTTGCTGTTGTTTTGAGATAGGATCCTGTTATGCAGCCCAGGCTGACCTTGAACTTGTGATCCTTCTTCCTCAGGTCAGTTTTTTATTATCGGTACCAGGGATCGAACTCATGACTGTCTGCTTGCAAGGCAGGTGCTTATGCTGCTGAGCTAAATCCCCAGCCCCTATCTCAGGTGAGTTTTAAGTTAGGTATTTTATGAGCTAATAAAAAAAATGGTACCACAAATAACCATACAATGGTCTACATTTGGTACTTAGAAATGGCCTGTACTTCCAAAAGCAAGCCAGCTATATCCTTTTAATGTGGTCAGCAGACTGTACGCTACCCAAATAAATAACCTAGTAAGTTATTTATAACTCTTGGTTCCCCCAAAAGTTAAATAGGTAAAAATATTTCTTATTTTATCATACAAAAACTTAAATTCCAAGTAATTTTCGATGTATCTGGCTGTTTTAAAGTCTTTCTGAGCTGGAATATTAAGCATTAAGATTGCACTTGTCCACATTCTCAGAGCGCTACAAACACCTCACAAGAAGAGAGGGTCTATGCTCTCAGGATGAAGCTACATATCTTTTACATACCTTGTTGTAAGTGTAGGGTGTTGGCGAGGTAGGTATGATCCCAGATTTCTCCTTCTGATGCCTTCTCTGTGCCTCTAGTACCTGCCAAGAGTCAAATCAAAAAGAACAATTTAATGAAAATCATACCACCAATATTCTGAATCCTGAGACAGACTATTGGAAGGCTGAAAAGAGAATGACAACCAACAATTGAAAAATAATTCCACATCAACACAATACTTTCACAAACCTTCTTTATTCCTCACAATTTATCAATCAAAGATGGACTTTCCCAGGTCAAGAATATAAAGATTGGGCCAGGAATATGGCTCAGTGACACAGCTTCTGCCTGGCAAGTATGAGGTCCCAAGTTCGACTGATTGCCCATTGCCCACCCCCCCAAAAAAAAAAGAAAAGAAAAAACTCTAAAGATCAAGTCCTCTTATCCCCAAAAAGGAGATTTACCTCTTTTCCCTACCTATGAAGGAGTCTGAGATCACTGACTTTTTTCCCCAGGAATATTCTTTATGCCTGTGCACAGCAAACACACACTTGTCAATCACACGAAGTATCTGTCACCATCAGAGACTACAGATCACTAACATCACATCGATTTGGATGTTAAGTGCTACACAGAAATATGACAAATGTGGTGCTATCATTCTGGCCAATCCTCTACTGTCCTATGCAGCAAGATTATGAGGTAAAAGGGGAAGCCTGGCAAACCCCAAACTGTTCCATGAAAGGTTCTGGGATGTTGAGGCCTTGTGTCGGTAAACTTCATCCTTACTCTAAGACCCACAAGTACTATCTGAGCCCATGAAGCTGCTGTCAATGGCAAATGCTGATGAGTGCTACACTTTAGCCAGGAGCTGCACCGCTACGTGGGGAACCTTGACAAGGCTACTTTCAGTGCTTACTCAAAGAATACAGCTATCAACAGAAATTCACTGAACATCTGGAAAAGATACCAGAATCTCCATGCAGAGGACCCTGATACCAGCTGTGACCACAACATAGAGTTTGTAACATAAGAAGAACGAAGTAAATTAATTAACTTGAAAAATATCATTTGCAACACCATAAAATTACTAAACATTGAGACTAAATCTAACAAAAGTTGTTAAAGACCTGTACATTAAAAACTATACAAGCCAGGTATAGTGGTATATGTCTGTAATTCCAGCACTTGGGAGGCTGAGGCAGGAGGGTAGTTGTAAGTTTGAGACTAGCCTGAGCTACAAAGTGAGTTCAAGGCCAGCCTGAAATGCATAGTGAGACCCTGTCTCAAAAAAAAAGACCAAAAAAAGAAAGAATATACAGGAATTTAACTCAGTGGTATAAGCACCTGCCTGGCAAGTGCAAAGTTCTGAGTTTGATCCCTGATACCTGGAACAAAAAACAACCACAAAAAACTACAAATATTCCTCAGCAAAATTAAGGCAAAATTAAATGGATGAATTAAAAAAAAAAAAGTAAATGGAATGATACAGAATGTGAATAGGAAAGAGTTAAATTTCATTATTATTTGCAGATGACATGATATTCTACATAGAATACCTACCAAAACTCCACCCTTTTCAGTATCTTCCCTAAAGAATTAAAAGCATACCACAGCAATATATGAATACCCATGTATACATTGGCATAGTTTGTATTAGCTAAATCTTAGAAACAGCCAAGATGACCATCAACCAATGAATAGATAAAGAAGATGTGGTTTTTATTTGTTTGTTTTTTAATCTGTGGGTTTTTAATACAGTGGAGTACTGCTCTGCTGTAAAGGGTGAGCTTGAGAACTGGAAGTGAATGGGTACACCTTGGGATCATACTCCTCAGTGAATAAGTCCGAAACACAGGTGTAAATATATTGTTTCTCTGGTGTGAGAAAACAAAAGTGTAATAAGGCCCAAAATGTACAACAGATATTGAGAATAGGAAGAAAATATAAAATGAGAAGGGGAACTAGGAAGAGGGAAGGGGATGGAAGGGACAAGAAAAAGAAATAGAAGGAAAAAATGGAAACAAAGCTTTTGTAAATAAGGAGAGAAAGAGGGGTTAAAGGGAGGGGAGGGGAATGGGATAAAAAGGGATGAAGATATATCATGTACAGTTACAAAATCCCTGTTATGAATGTTATCATCATGTACATCCAAAATATACCAATGAAAAAGGAAAAAATTTTTAAAAATGAAAAGCCAAAGACTAGAAGAAAATCTCTGCAAAGCATATATCTGATAAAGGACTTATATCCAAAATATATAAAGAATTGTGAAATTAAAAATAAGTAAACAATTTAAAAATAGGGAAATGGGCCAGGCGTATAGCTCAGCAGCACAGCACCTGCTTGGCAAGTGAAAGGCTGAGAATTTAATCCCCAATACCAAAAATTTTAAAAAATAGGGAAAACGTGGGGCAAGATGGTACATGCCTATAATTCTAGCACTCAGAAGGCAGAAAGATCACTATGAGTTCAAGGTCAGGCTGGGCTACACAGTAAGTTCAAGGCCAGCATGGACTTCATAGCACAACCCTGTCTTAGTGGAAAAAAAAATAATAAACTGAAAAATAGTAATGATAAAAATAGGGAAAAGGTTTAACCAGACACTTCAGCAAAGAAAATATAAAAAAGACAAAAAAGCAAATATCCTTAGTCACTAAAGAAGTGCAAGCACCAACCAGAATGATGAAATTACAAATACTGACAAACATGGAGTATAACAATGTGAAGCAACTGGAACTCTTACACATTGCTTGTAAAACCATAAAATGGTAACACTATTTTAGAAAAAGGTACTTTTTTTGAGACAGAAACTATGGCCTCCAAAACTCTGTAAATGAATGTTGCTAGTATTTTTATTCACAATACCCCAACTAAGAAACAACCCAAAATAGTCATCAGTCAGTGTGTGCAACATATATAGTTTGGCCATGTGACAGAATACTGTTGAGTAATAAAAGGATTACTGATAATTGCAGCAACACAGATAAACATGCTGATCAAAAGAAATGAAACATAAAATGTCCATGATTCTATTTTTATGAATTTGATAAGAAGCAAAATTAATAACAGAAAGCATCTTTTTTTATTTTTTTATCAGTACTGGGGATCGAACTCACGACCATGTGCTTGCAAAGCAGGCGCTTATGCCGCTGAGCTGAATCCCCAGCCCAACAGAAAGCATCTTATCAGTCGTTGCCTGGGACCAGAGGTTAGCAGGGGAGCAGACAGCAACAAGGCAGCTTGAGAAGCAACAGCAGTGTTCTGTGTCTTCACTGTGGAGGTGGTCCCATGTTTCTTAAGCCTTATCCGAGTGCACCACAAGTAGGAATACAGTAGTCTCCCTCATCTATGGAGTTTTTATGGGGGAAGTATATCTGTGATCTCATACTTTCCAACAACCAGTCAAAAATATTAAATGGAAAATCCCGGAAATAATTCATGAGTTTTAAATTGTGTGACATTCTGAGCAGCAAAATGAAATCATTCACGATCTTATACCATCCTATTCAATTACCCCTAGCTCTTGAATCATTTCTTTATCCACAATATCCACACCACATCAGCTACCCACCTATTAGTCACTTAGTACCAAGCTTGATTATCACATTAACTGTATCAGTAATACACTGCTTGTGTTCAAGTAACCTCTAGTTTACTTAATAACAGCCCAAAGCATAAAAGTAATGATGTGGACAATTCAGACATGCCAAAGAAAAGCCATAAAGAGGATCCTTTACCAGCCACAGTGGTGCACATCTATAATCCCAGCCCTCTGGAAGGTTAAGGCAGGGGCATTAAAACTTCAAGCTCAGGGCTGGGGATATAGCTCAGCAGCACAAGCACCTGCCTGGCAAGCACAAGGTTCTAGGTTCAATTCCCAGTACCAAAAAAGAAAGTTCATACTCAACTTGGGTGAATTAGCAATTTAATGGAGTCCTGCCTCAAAATTTAAAAAAAATTTTTTTTTTTCTTTTAAAAGGGCCAGGAACTTAGATTTGTGCAAAGGCCCTGGGTTCAGTCCTCAGCAGCCGCCCTCACAAAAAACCTCTTCCTTTCTTTAAGTGAAAAGGTGACAGTTTATCACAGACATGTATGCATAGGAAAAAAAATATGATACACCTAGGATTTGGTACTTTCTGTGACTTCAGGCAACCACTGGGGGTCCTGGAATGTATCCCCCACAGATAAGAGGAGACTACAGTATTTTACTGTATTTAAATCATACCTCTATTCATAATAAAATCCAATTTTAAAAGAACAGGATATCTATACAAAATGAAGCAATCAGTAGCTTTCTTAAGATGAGAAAGCCCTCTCCCATCTATGATATATGCCTACTTGCATGGCAGAATAGAAAGAACATTAATCTAGAATGGAAGCTTGATAATACACTTTAGCAGAAAGAAAGCACATGCTTACCTGAGGTGCTACATAATAAGGAGTGAACTGGGGTGTCATCAAGTCACCTTGGTCAATTTTAGCAAACCCAAAGTCACACAACTTCACCGGAGCATCCTAAACAAAACAAATGGGAGTCACTGCTCCAGAGTTGTTGGTAAACATTAAAGGAAAGTCCAGGTGTACAACAAACTACTCTGAGCTCCCACAAGCCTCTGGCTGAGATCTGAGCCTATGAATAGTATGTTGTCAGGCCTCAAGACAACGGTTCGTGCTGAACAATGGTTTTTAGTAACATAGGAAAAAGGAATTTCTACCCATTCATTTAGCCTAGCTTTATAACATAAAATCGGCTGTAAAATCAAGGTCTTAGCCTTCTGCCCCCTCACTCGATGGACCAATCACCTTTCACCAATCCTGGGTGCTACTTTATTTGAAACTGTTAAGTTTCAAAATAACGTAACAGTATATAGATTCCTACTCCTTCCCAAAGGTCCACTAAATATTTATAAGCATGAGTCCCATAAATATACATGAGTTGTCATCTAAAATTATTAATGCCAAGAGTGAGTTACAGTTTCTCTGAGCCTTTAGAAAGGAGAGGTGGAAAGAAATAAGCCACGTGCCTAATGCCTCTTTCTCCATGGACTTGGAACATCCCAAACACATACATATCCACTTCTGAGCTGTGTTAAGACTACAGCTAGCAGTACTAAAATGCAGAAAAGCAACTTTTCTCACCAAAGAGTTATCCTTGAAAAGCAGATTTTCAGGCTTGAGATCTCTGTGTGCAATGTTTAATGAATGACAGTGCTGTAGAGCCAAAGCTATCTGAAAAAGGACACAGTGGAGCAAAAGCCTCTTAAGAAAGAGCAATATTTATTTAATATTCCTTTGTAGAAAGTTCGGGATGGTTAAGAAAAAAATTCATTAAATCAATCAAAACCTTGGTCAGTTTCAATTTCAAAGCAGAAATTAAGACAGACTTGGGCACCAAGAAATAAGAGCATAGTTTGACTAAAACCTAAATCTTGTTAAACAAAAAGAAAATATGACAGTAAAACAATTCTGTCAGAATAAACTGATGATTACACCCTGTAACGAATGGGAAGAATGAAAGGCTCCCACTTTCATTCTTGGACATGTGAGAGGCACTGAAGTGAAACTGCTCAGCTGGGCAGTCTTCAGCAGGCATGTGTCTCCCAGCAGGGCAGCAGCAGGACTGCCAGGTGTGCTGGAAGAGAACTGCACTTGCTAAGGAACTGAGTGGCAGACCGCCTTCAAACCAGGTGAGCTGAGTTTTCCAACTACTGTTCTGGTTTGTTCACCTTACTTGCTGACAGTGCTGCCTGTTTGTATGGACTTGAGGGGTTTTTGTTTTATAGAAGATTATCAGAGCTTGGGGGCTGGGGATTTAGCTCAGCGGCATAAGCGCCTGCCTTGCAAGCAGGCGTGAGTTCAATCCCTGGTACCGATAAAAAGGAAAAAGAAAAAAAAAGATTATCAGAGCTTATCCTTTAGTCCTAATATATGAAAAATGAAAAACGTAACTTAAAAAATCAAATAGGATAGATCCTACTGTTCTTTAATACTCAGTATGGAATTTTCTCAGCAATTCAAATATTCATTCATCTGTAATTAATCAGGAAGGAGCCATCCAAAAATGCTTGGAAAATGCTTATGGAAAATTTGGGAAGTTTATTAGGACCTAATTGGGCTGTCCTTCCTGCTTTTCTTCATTCTGCTTGCTCGGTCTGAACACAGGTCTTGAGGCTTTAGTGTCTCACCTTTATAAGAGGTTAGCACCAGTTGGATTGCTAGCATTGAATTTACATAACAATCATTTCTACAGCAATAAAATGCGATTCAAGGTATAACTAGGAATAACCCAGAATTACAGAGATCCTAGAATACTATTAAAATCTGCAGAAATGATGTGATTCATGCAAGAAGCATCTTATATAAACTCTCACAGAACATATTTTTGTTCCATACAATTTTTCAGATGGTATCAACAGCATTTTATCTCAAAGTCCAATTACGGTGCTTAGAAGCAGCATATCAAAGATATGGAGAGTCTTATCTTCCTTTCAGTATTTATTTAAATCTTACCAGGAAACAGTTGACAATGAATTAAGAATACAGTCCTCCCCCCTCCAAAATATAAAAGGGATGACATTTGTCCTGTTAAGACATTCTTTCTGATTACATAACAAAGCAGGCAATGAGAAGTCAAATAGAGCTTTTCTTTCAAGTTTCTTTTATTCCCCCTAATGAAATTGCACTTGTTAACCAACATAGTTGGTAGTTTGATTGGTACCCGGGGTTAACTTGCCTGCTTTGTTACTTGGCTGGCTTGCTTCTCTGTAAAGTGCCGGTGCTGGCTGATTCTGTGAAATAGCTCTCCCCCTTCCATCATCTCCATTACAATTAAGAGTCGAGCCCTGTTTGAAAGCATTTGATTTTGTTAAGTTAAAAAAAAAAATCCTGAAATACAAAACTAAACTATAGAGATCTCATCTACAAAGTGTGTAACCAGCGTAATGTAGCTACTAAATAAGAACAAAAATTCTCACATTCCAAAAAAAAAAAAAAAAAGGTCCACGAATTTTTGGCTATCATTCTTTGATAAAATGCTTCCAGATTCCATCCAAATGCTTTCACCAACAGAGCAAAGTGAAAAATAATCATGGATTCCTGTTTTTAAAATTCCATTTTTTTCCAACTATAAAATTCCTACCCTCCTTTTAAGGGCTAGTCTTCCTTCATGTAGATGTGAAACACCTCACCTCCCAAGCAGGTAGCTCCCCTGCTCTGTAAAGCTCAGACTATTTTATGGCTGTCTCTCCTTGGTGCCTATCACATTGCAGTGATGATGACTTTACATCTCAATCAGCCCAATGAATTCCCTAGAGGAGACTCAAGATTGCCACCCAACATGCTTTCAAAACATTGGCAGCTAAAAGAATAATGCTGATTTCTTCCTTCCAAAGGAAAGTCAGACTAAGTAACAGAGCTTTAAGACTTTGCATAGAATAACACCCCTTTGACTAATTTGAGATAGAATCTGTTTTTTTTCTTTTTCTTTTTATCTTTTTGAGACAAGGTCTCACTAGACAGTTCAGGCTGGCCTTAAACTCACTGTGTAGCCCAGGCTGGCCTTGAACTTGGCAAGGAGCCTTCTGCCCCAGCCTCCCAAGAACTGGGATTATAGGCATGTACCACCACAACCAGCTGTAATGTTTTTATCAAGAGAAAAAGTAATCAAAATAACCAATATTTCTATGATTCTATGCTTTTACAAAGATCTCAAATTTTCCAAAAAATTCAGATTCTGTACAGAGGGAGAGGGGAAGGAGAGGAGGTAGGAAAGAGAAGGATAGGAAGAAGGCAAAGGGAAAAGACAGAAGAGGAAGACTGTGCTACGCTGTGGCCTATGTACACAGATGCTGGGGTGATCCTGTGTAGCCTTACCTGGGACTGGACTCATGAGGAAACTGTACACTGTTAGCAAACACTTCAATAATCTGAACTATATTTGGGTGTGTGGCACACATCATGTGCAGACGTACCTTAAAGAGAACAAAGGAAAGGTTTCTGTGCAAAGGGGAGGCAAACATTTTTTCTCCCACCAAAAACTGACCACACTAGATGCAAGTGATAAAAGCTTACTTCAGGAAAAAGCCGTATCTCTAAAACGGTATTTTGAAAAACCAGTATTTTCATACAGCAATTACCTCCTTGACACTCTTTCCACAAAGAAAACCTCACCAACAAATTTGCTTTCTACTGTTCTATCTACTGCCAAATGAAAATATTGGCAAATAACTTTGTTCTGCTTCTAAAAAAAAGAGTAAGTCCTTCAGCCAGGCACGGTGGAGCATGCCTGTAATCCCAGGACTTGGGAGGCTGAGGCAAAATGATCACCTTACATTCGAGGCCAGCCTGGGCTTCACACAGTGAGTTTGAGTTCAGGCTAGGCTGCACTACACAGAAAGATTCTGTCTCCAAGAAATAAAAGTAAGTCCTTCATTACATATGTTAATAGCATGTTATCACCCCATCCAGATAATTTTTTAAAAATGTGTATTTTTAATAACTAGAAATGCATTCTTGAAGAATCCTCCTGCAGCATCACTTTTTAAAAAACATTTATCTGGGCTCCCCTAAAATACTGGGTCATATTTTACCTCTACCCTTCGAGCACCATTTTCAATAAGCAAAAAAAGAAGTAAATTTGCGTATGTAAGGGTCCAAGAAGGAAACAAGACCCTACTAACTAACTAATAGTTCCATGGTGAAGATGTAGCACTACTCTGTAATGAAAACATGAATAGAGACAAGGGGAAAGTATATGCATAAAATTATTTATGCATGTCTGTATTCTCTCTAGGAATCTGCCTTAAAAAGAAAAGTCTTACACATTTCAAATATAGACAAGATAAGGCAATAAAGAACAATACCTCGTTTCTAGCTTTTGGACGATCAAGAAGAATTTTTAGTGCAAACCGTTCTTGGGTAGATTTCTTCACACAGACTCTAGATTTGGAGGGAAAAAATTAATCAGCAATCATCTATGAAAATTAATTAGTGAAAGTTAATTGCAGAAGTCTGTTCCTTGAGAACTATACTTCTAATCAAAGATACATCCAGGTGCCTTAGAACAAACCTGCCCCTTGGGCAGCAGATGGTAAGGCAGAGAAGCATCTCACTCCTCTTCCCAGCTATCCATGCTCAGGTCTCTGCTCCTGAGTAGGTGACAGGAACTCACAACAAGCCAATGAAGAAACAGCCTCTGCTGGCTAAAGAAAACTCTCATGGTAGCTTCAACATTTTAAATAAGTCATATACTTGATCACTTAGCTATGGTCAGGGATATATAAGAAAAAAACTTAAAAAAAAAAAAAAACCTAACATAAAAACTCTAGTAGGAGTCAGGGGTGTGTAATTCAGTGGCAGAGCATATGCTTAGAAGGCATGAGGTCTTGGGTTCAATTCCCAGCACCAAAACAAAAACAAAAAAAAAAAAAAATTTCTACGTATTAAATTACAGCAATTTCTAGGGCTGGGGATTTAGCTCAGCGGCATAAGCGCCTGCCTTGCAAGCACGTGGTCATGAGTTCGATCCCCAGTACCAATAAAAAATAAATAAATAAATAAATAAACAAATAAACAAATAAATAAATAAAAATTAAAATACCACATTTTTTTACAATGGAACATTACTCAGAAAAGAAAAAAATTACAGCAATGTCTCAAATGTGTCATACTTCTAATTCAACTGTTGATGCCTCTAATTCAAAATACATCTCCAATGGTTTGTCTCAGAGCAATTTTGTTACAGTTCTCATATGGGTCTCTTACCTAACTGGACCACTAATTCCAGCTCCCAGCTTCTGAGTCCAGTTGATACTGTATTCTTCTAAAATGGAGGTTTCCTATTAAAATAAGTAGAGGGAGAAAATGATTCCCCAATTAAAAATTAACAACTTGTTTTCGCATCCCCATAATCTGAATAACATCCAAGTATATTGGCCTTTACAGAACAGCAGCATATATGTGACCAATCTTTTGAGAATGTCAGAAAAATATACCTGACTACTGCAGCAAAGAAGTATTTAATAGTAACTGGGTTTTACTTACTTACTGTGCTGGGGACTGACCTCAGGGCCTTATACATGCTAGGCAAGTGCTTCATCATTGAGCTCAGTTTTACTGCATTTTAAATGAATATCTTCCCTGTAGATCCTCAAAGATGCACTAAGATAGTCTTGGGGTTGTTTTTTTTTTTTTAAGATAGTATTAGTAAAATGGCAACTGTCCCCAAACTGGCCTATAAAGTCAGTGTCATCTCCATCAAATCCCAGGATGAGTTTTGCTTGCTTTTTGTTTTGTTCTGGCAGTACTGAAAACACAATCTAGGGATGCTCTACCAATGACCTACATCTTCAGTCCCCTTTCTTTTTTTTTTTTTTTTTTTTTTTTTTATCGGTACCAGGGATCGAACTCATGGCTGCCTGCTTGCAAGGCAGGCGCTTATGCCGCTGAGCTAAATCCCCAGCCCCCTTCAGTCCCCTTTCTTGAGACAGAGTATCCTAAATTCCCCAGGCTAGCCTCGAATTTACAATCCTCTTGCTTCAACTATCAAGTACACCTGAGATTACAGGCATGCACGACCATACCAAGACCATTGGACTTTTGGGGGAGAAATTGACAAATTGCTACTAAAACTTATTTAGAAATACCAAAAAACCCAATAGCCTACACAGTTTGAAAATAATGTCAAACTGCTACTCACACTACCCAGTTTGAAAACTTACTATAATGTTTTTGGTAACCAAATGTGGTATTGGCAGGACAGTCATACTGATCAATGAAACAGAATTGAGAAAAAATAAAATAAACTGGTTGTTAGCAAAAATGCCAAAACTAATTCTATGTGCAAAAGACAGTCTTTTAACAGATGTTCCTGGAATAACCAGATATCCACGTTTAAAAAAAAAAAAAGTTTGGCAGATAGAGCTATGAGTATAGCTCAGTGCTTCCTAACCTGCATGAAGCCCAGGGTTCAGAACCCAGTGAGAGAGAGTAAGAAGCAGACAGACAAACAGAGAAAAAAGAGATCGAATGACCTGGGACTAAGCAAAGATTTCCTAACTAGCTAGAAAAGTGCACAAATGCACACAAGAAGAAAATATGCTAAGTGAAATTTATAGAAATTTGCTCTTCAAAAGACAATATTAAAAAGTGGTAATATTAAAAAAAAAAACGTAGTAACTAACCCAGTGCAGCGGCACACACTTGTAATCCCAGTACCTGGGAGGGAGGCTGAGTCAGAAGAATTCCAAGTTAGAGTCCCACTTGGGCAAATTAGCAAGACCTTACCTCAAAGACCAAAAGGGTAGCAGATGGAGAAGGAAAGGCCCTTAGGTCCTGGGATATAGCTCCTGGGAGACAGTACGTAATTGTCTCCCTGGCAAACACAAGCTCCTGAGTTCAATTCCCCAATTCCTAGTACCAAAAAAAAAAAGATGAACTATCAGTTCAAACATATAATCTTCAGCCCTCATAGAAATTTTGGGATGGAGACTTAGCTCAGCAGCATAAGCACCTGCCTGGGAAGTGTGAGGTCGCTCCCTGGTAGCAAAAAAAAAAAAAAAGGAAAGGTCCTGGGTTCAATCCCAGCACCAAAAAAAAAAAAAAAAAAAAAAAGATAAGGCTAAGGCAGAAGTACTGGGAGATCAGGATCAAAAAACAAAAAAGTGGTAACGTAAGCCACAGATGTATGTGCCAATCATGCTTCTGTTAAGTGACTTTTATTCAGAGTTTACAAAGAATTCTTAAAACTCAGTAAGACAAAAAAAATCCATCCCAGTACTTGGGAGGCTGAGGCAAGAGGATCACTGCCTATGCAGCAAAGTGAGTTCAAAACCTGCCTGCACTGCATGCATAGTAAAACCTTGTCTCAAGAAAAAAAAAAAAAATACTATGGGGTAATCCTCTTATTTCCTTTCATAGATAGAAAACTAAGGAATGGAGAAGTAAAGTAATTTACATAAGGACAGAATAAATGGCAAGGCTGAGAGGTTTTTCTTTTTTTGGGTTTTTGTTTTGTTTTGTTTTGTTTTGTTTGTTTTTTTTGGCTAGTTGATTGGTTGGTTGAGTTTTTTTTCCAAAACAGGGTCTTCTTATGTAGTTTGGCTAGCTTTGAACTGTGTAGCCCAGGCTGGACTCAAACTTGTGATGATTGTTCTCCTGCAGCCTCCCAAGTACTGGAATGCAGGCATGCACAACTATGTGCAGCTAAGGTTGAGATTTCAAGCCCATGAGTTCACTGAGAAACTATTAACCACTAAAATCACCTCCTAATTTGCATTTTTGTTCACTGTAACTATGCCCCTCTTCCGCCCAGCTCTCCCACTGCTCTCCCTTCTAAGGACCTACAAGCTCCTAAATGCTGTTGTCCATTATTTCTCTTTAATATTATTCACCTTGACCCACTGTGTTCCAACCATCTTGCTCTTTCTACATTATACTAGGTTTGCTTTGTTTTCAGAGCCTTTATAGTTGCTTTACCGACTGCCTACAAAATTCTTCAGACAGTGGTGGCTTGCCCCCTCCTGTCCTTCACAGCCCTACACCAATGTCATCTTCTTAGAACTTCTCTGACTACCCTAGTTAAAATACCAGTACTCACCCTTTCTGTATTAATTTATAATCACCTGGCAATGTTTATTACCTAATTCCACCATCTCTCACTTTTTCACCACTTGTGCCTAAAAGGGCACCTGTCATGAATCAGATACCTGAACTTAAAAATCTGCCACATAAGCTCTGATTCATATTCATATAACTTCAAGCAGCAGATTATGATAAAATCTAAAAAGAAAAAAATGCACATGCCAAAGAACCTTTATATTTGTTATTTAAAACTTGATCTTGGGGCTGGGGATTTAGCTCAGTGGCATAAGCACCTGCCTTGCAAGCAGGCGGTCATGAGTTCAATCCCCGGTACCGATAAAAATGAAAAAGACAAAAAAAATTAAACAAAAAACAAAAAACTTGATCTTCCTACTGGGGATGTAGCTTAGTGACAGAGGGCTTATCTGGTATGTGCAAAACTGTGGTTCAATACCCAGGACTTAGACACACATACACACACACACACACACACACACACACACCCTTTCTTACTGTGTATGTTTTATGGTGATGCCAACTTTAAAATGCTAACTTTCTTTGGAATTTTTGTAACTATAATATACCACCTCAAAACCTGTTACAAGTGTAAGCTCTTAGTTATTCATAATAGTGATTGTACAGTGAAGTATCTTGAAGAGGAAAATAAGCCCAAGCTGCCAACAGATACTTGTCCATCAAGGGAAAATGAAATTCTTAAATGCAATGCGTTCATTTAACACTGTAAAATAAGTAATTAATACCTCAAATGTTAAAATTCAGTGTTGAAAATACATAATTCTAATTTTGTAGCTACAGTTAGCAAGCTAGATAACTCACTGTACAAAATTAGTTAAAAGGAAGTTAAAAATAGGTTTTAGAAGACGTCATTTTATTTGGGTCATTCTGAACACATATATTTGCTTTTCTCTTGGATCAGTAAATCACAAGACACTCAGCTCTTCCTGCATATACTCAATGCTCCCAAAGAGGACAGAGAAAAGAACACAAGAAAGAACAACATTCTCCAAACGACACGTTCTCCTGAAACTGCGGATTTCCAGGCAGTTGATGGTTCAAATACATTGGTAGGGATGGGTAAAGCCACTGTTGGAAATGCTGCTGCAGCAGACTGTCCTAGGCAAGTACTGGAGGCACTTGCGGAGCAATGGAAACCTTTGAGTAGTTGGCCCTCTTCGTCCATTCTTAGCAGGTGTATTAACACCACTCACGTTCGTTCCAGCTATGAGCGCAAATCAGAATAAACAGGAGAGCGAGAAAGCGTCGGTCACTACACAGGCACACACAGACGCGCGCACACACACGCACACACACACACAGACACACACACACAGACACACACCAACCCTTTCGAAACTGGGTCTTTGGAATCCCGGAGAACGAAACGCAGGTGTGCTGGAACTTCTCGGTCCAATTTTTCTCGTATTCTGAGGCTGCAGCCCGGAGGAACGAGATAGGACAAAGCAGGAGAGACGGTGACATTCTCCCCTTACCTTGATGGCTTTGTCCATGTCGTTCTCCTCCGACATGCTCCGCGAGGCCCCTACAGCCAAGAGCGCCGCAGGTTGTGCAGCTGCACGGTCCCCTAGCAGCCGAGGGGGCAAAGGGCTCGGAGAACGGGCCCCTGGACCTCGGGAAGACGGGCAGCAGCCGCCACTAGCGACAGGCGGGGAAGAGGGCCCCGGCGCCAGATCGGCTTCGGGGGGCGGCTCTAAGCCGGCGGCGGAGGCGGCGGCGGCGGCAGCCCCTGGGGACAAACCTTTGTGCTGGACCCCGCGCGGTCGCCTCCCGGCCTCATCCCCGGCCGGGGAGGCAGGCTCCCGCGGCAGGGCGAGGCGGGGAGGGCCTCGGCCCGGAGGCTTGTGCGGGGGCCCCGCTGGGCCGCCACTTAGACCCGGGCTCGCCAGGGCCTGAGAAGTATTCTGCGCTTCCGCCTCCGACGCCGACACCGTCGTGAAGCCGAAGCCGAGCCCGCCGCCGCCCCCGCCGCCACTACTGCTCCGGCCGCCGCTTCAGCGCCACACATCGCCGGGACACCCGCGCCGGGCAGCCGCGCCGGCCACCCGCCCGCGCTGTACCCGGCTGGAACTCCGGGCAGCCGCTCCAGCTGCCCAGCCCCGCTACTCCACGGCTCCACACGCCCCTCGCCACAGTCCTCCAGTGCTTCCGCGCCGCCCCCGAGCCGTGCGATTGCTCCGCAGGCGCCCGCCTAGGCCTCCCCGAGACCGCCCGCGAGCCATATAGGCCCCCGGGCCTTCGGTTGCACTGGCGCTGAGCTAATGACGTAGGAGGCGGCCTGATTAGGCAGGGCCACTGGAGGTCGCCGCAGGACGCGAGTGACTGCGCCTGCGTTGTACTTGCGTTGCGGAGATTTACACCTCCACGAGCACCCGCTGGAAACGACCTGTGCGGGCCGGTGGGTGATACAGAAGAGGGGAAGTGAGATCCGCGAGGGTGCTGCCGTAGGGGAAAGGAATTGTCTGTTTCTTGAAGCTCTACAGGATAGGCTTTTTGCGCTGTGGAGTATGTTCTCATCCCTCGTCTGTAGATTTGGTAACCGAGGCTTAGAGGGCTTGTTACCGAACTTTCAAGACCAAATACTGGGTTTCAGGGGTCCCAACAGATCATTTTCGGCCACCCGTCCTAAAACGCTAGCCAAGGAGTTGAGCATTACCGTTAGGCAGAAAAGGAGCTTTAATCAGTTTGGCCTACGTTGGGAAGGACCGATAAAAGGTTCACGGTCCCTTCTCTGAGATGCAGACCGAAACTTAGAAAAGAACAAAGACAAGGGCAAAGAATTTGCAAGGCTGTCGGGGTAGATAACCCTGGTCAAGCCGCAGTCTCACTGTTTTCTCGAACTGGTTCTGTGAAGATGACCGGAGATCTTTATGGGGTAAAGTAACTGTTCCCATGAGAGTTTGTTTCCAAGGAGTTTGAATGAGGAAGTTATGAAAACTGGCAAGTGAAGTCGGGCATGGCCCAATGAGGCCGGCGGATCACCTTGAGTTCAAGGCCAGTCGAAACTACACAACAAGATGCTGGCTCAAAAAAAAAAAAAAAAAAAAAAAAAAAAAAGGGTGTGGTGGGGATTTAGCTTAGTGGCATAAGTGCAAGGTCGTGAGTTCGAACCCCGGTACCAAAAAAAAAAAAAAAAATACTGGCAAGTGAATGTTCCTTCCAGTGTTACTGTCCTCATGTAACTGGCACTGAAAAATGAAACTTTAAAAGTTAGATTTTTTTTTCTGGTAAAAATAAGTAAGTTTTCCAAAATTCCTTCTACCAAACCAACACCCCCTCCTTCCCTCAATCCAGATAAAATGACAGAATATACAGACACCAGCCCCAGAAAGCAGAGCCCCAGTGGTTGGAAATGATAAAGCAGGCATGGAGATCTGCATTGCCTGTGCTCCACCTCCTCTCTGTTCCTAACAATAGAAGACCCTTACCCACCTGTTCATGGGAAGGTGGTGATTTGAGCCTAAGGGACTCCTCCATCTCCTTGGAACTAGCTTTGTATAAATCCTATTTCCTTTTTATCAAAATAACTGGCCTCCTTTGATTTGGTCAGCACCAAGCAAGTGAACTTGTAGGGGTTCTGCAAGCAAAGGGAAAATAAAGGAACACACACACCAAGGGTCAGCAAAATGGCTGCCACCCAGCCAAAAACAAACAGCTTTTATTGAGATAAAGAACAAAGAAACTCTTACTGCACATGCTTAGATTATATAACTTGTTTGCTTCTTGTCCTTTTGGCACCTCATGATTTTATCTTGGGGTGGCAGAATGTTTCAAGGCCTGCACCTTCTACCAAGACACTGTCAACCAGATGTGTCCAGGAAAAATGGAGTCAGTGTGGCCTCTCTACATGAACCTAGACATATGAACCTTAGAGGCTGATAACACTCAAGTTTTGAAGGGGATGAGGTGGGTCATGTAAATTTAAGACTAATAACTGCTCCTTCAGTAACTAAGATGCTTGTATTCAGAGCTGAGAAGCGATCTGAGGAAAAATTTTAAGTTTCATATTTAGTATGTTGGAAGATTCATGAGTCCAAACTTTAATCAAGGTACATGGAATTGTTATAACACATGCTAAAAGACATATAAAGTGAAGGCAGAGATGGCAAGCTTTATCTTGCCTTCAGTTTCCCGTTGGACACCTGCAGACAGGCTTAACCCATTTGCACGAAGCCAAAAACTGGTCAAGATAGAAGCCCAGCCCATCCCCACCTGTTTGGGGTGTTGTGGTTTTGGTTTGTGTGCTTTTAAAGACGATCTTGCTATGTAGCCAGGCTAACATCAAACTTTGAATCCTCTTGCCTCAGTCTCCCAAGTCCTGGGATTACAGTCATGCACGACATCACCTCTTGATAGTTCTTCATCACTTGTTGACTGAGACAAGTGATGTTTACACAAGCACATGTAAACTAGGCCTGCTAGACACCGAGGGGACAATAGTCAAGACACAGTACTTACTTGTAGATCTTCAGGAACAGGAAGCAGTTAATACACAGGGAGGAAGAGTGTGATGTTAAAAAGAAAATGAACGGGGCACTGGTGTAAGAATAGCTGAATGCTGTATGATAGTATCAAGTTTGAGGGTATAGGCAACTACTTTGAAGGCAATAAGATTCACTATGATGCCCATTCTGGTTTGACTATTATCTCCTTTGGAAGTCCTGTAATGTTTACAATGTTTAAGTTTTATTGGTCTTGTTCTCTACTGTTTTGTTCAACTTTATAATACCTAATGAGATAGACAATTCTTTTTAAGGAAGCAAGAGGCATTATGGTAATCACTGTTGATAACCTTGTACTCTGTTTTTACATCATGTGCTATGTCTATCCTTGGTTTTGACTGACAGCTTTGTTTTGCCATATTTGACTGTATTCTCTTCCAAAAAAAAAAGTAATAAGAACTAAGGAGTAATAAAACCCAAAATGTGTAAATTTTGTTGTAAAAAAGAGAGGGAAAAAAAGTGCTCTAAAGGATACAACTGCAAGTGTGTTTAGGGGTGTTAAATAGCTGACCATATTAATGTTTTTGGTTGGATCATTGAACACAACTGTTTGCAGTCTCTCTGTTTGAATGTTCACTTTGTGTGCTTTGATACTGTGACTTGAGCAACTATCTCTAGGATGATAATGTGTAATATATTGACTGGTGATTTCTTAGTTTTTTGTTTTTTTGTAGTTCTGTATTACTTGTACCCTTACACCACTTTGTTTTGTTTTGTTTTTTCTCTTTTCCCTTTTAAATAAAATTTAAAAAAAAAGAATAGCTGGATGTGGGAACTATTTCACACTAGATGATTAGTGTTTTAAGTTGATACCCCTGAGGAAAGAGGAAATAACTATTGGAAATGCAGCCAACTGGAGAAAGAAATTTGAGGGAGATAGAACAGCAAGTGGAAAAGTCTTAAAATGGAATAAGCGAAATATGTTCAAGGAGCAAAACATTGTACTAGACAAGTACTCACTGCTTGATGGTTGTGAAAGCCACTGCAGTGGCACTGAGTTTTAGCTAACAGAAAAGGCTCTAATGTGTCTTCAGCCAGCCAGGAGGCCAGGAGCTATAAACTCGGATCTGATTTTTTGATCATTTGGTAGCAAGAGAAGCTTTAGAAGAGGAGAGAGAGCAAGCTGCTTAGTGACAAAAGAGTGGAAAGAGTCATTTTAGGGTTCTTTTGCTGAGACATAATCATCATGCGTCTTCACAGGGAGCATGCCTCTTTTGGGGGAATACTTAGCATATTCTGCATAGACAAACTCTCTAAAGAGTTTGTCATGCCAGTATGTCATTGGCTGGATAAGCTGAGTTCCTCTGCATATATCCATTTTTGAAAAGCCATTTTGAAACAATGAGTGGATTCTAAAAGTTTTCCTGAAAAACAAGTTTAGTACCAAGTTAATTAAGGAACATATGTCCAGATGTATCTAGGTCCTAACTGATTTCACAAGAAGAGCATTGTAGCTACTGTGCTGGGAAAAAGGATGAATGGGCAGGGCTTGCATCACACGTGGCCTCAAGGATCATAGTAAGGACTTTGGGCTTTATTCTGAACCACTGGAATATTTTAAACTAGAGATTAATCAAATTTACATCTTAAAATGTGCTTTATAGAGAATGGGGTACTGCTAGGAGGCTGTTGGAATAATCCAGATGACACATTATTTTGATGTTTGAACTAGGAGCTGATGGTAAAGATGAAAGGGAAGATAGATTTAAAATTTATTTGAGGGGCTAGACATGGTGGCCCATTCCTGTAAGCCCAGCATGAGGCAGGAGGATTGCCACAAATTCAACGCCAGCCTGAAGGGGCTGGGGGTTTAGCTCAGTGGCATAAGCACCTGCCTTGCAAGCAGGCGGTCATGAGTTTGATCCCCGGTACCGATAAAAAGTTAAAAAAAAAAAAAAAAAGAGTCAAATTCAACGCCAGCCTGAACTACATAGTGAGACCCTCCCTCAAAAAACAAATACAAAAGCTGAAAGATACATTTTGGAGATAACATTGACAGGATTTCCTAAAGCATTAGATGAGAAAGAGGAGGCTAAACAATGAATTAAGGATAACTTCTGTTGTAGTTAAGGGTTGTGAAAACAATTAGAATCAGGACATGGGATTTATAATATTGTTTTATGAGGGTCATCCACAGTTAACATAAGAAATTGCAAGAAATTTATCCTCAACACCAAAGATACAGAATATTCACCCAAAGGCCCAAATCCCACAACAATGTCCTGCATGAGTCCAGATAAAGACCCAAAGCTCATGACAGTGCCTCCCACAAGTACAGCTGGAGGTCTAGAGCCAATGAGAAGGACTCACGCCAGTGTCTTTTACAGATCCATACTGAGAAGACCCAAAGGTCAGCAGCAGTGGAATCTAGAAAGTCTATGCCAGCAGGGTGAAGGAGCTGGGCTGGCAGGTTAAGGGTTCTACGCTGGAGCTGAGAAGTCACACACAAGACAAAGACCAGGGCTGCCCTGAAAAGCACCACAGCCATCCTTAGTGACGCAGAGGCCCCAAGCTCCTCTGATGACAAGCACATGTCATCAGAGGGTACATGCCAGGAAGCCAGCGTGACGAGTCATCCTGGAGACCAAGCGGCAAACATCTTCCCCTCCAGAGCCAGGAAGCAATGCTCAGTGTGAGGACCAGAGCTTCTCCAGGAGAACCAACAGCTCAAACAGCAACTCATAGGAGAACCCACAACACCTCATCACCTCTCTCCTCCGTCTCCATGTCTCTATTTATGCTGGCAACTTTCCTCAGGTGAACCATCTACGCTCAGTGCCATTCTGATGTAATCCAGCTGGTGTCAGGTTGACCACCACTTCTTAATCCATAACAACTTCTATGTGTTTGACTTACACAACTGGATGAATGATGCTGTTGCCATTCAGGGAATGAAAGACTTGATGGGAATGAAGGTGACCCATTCAGAGTTCTTTACTATGTAGGTAAATTTGAGGGTCTTGTGTGTGACACACCAGACAATAAGCCAAATATATAATTGAATACTGTGGAGAGTTAGTTGTCCACCAAAATTGTTCCCTTTTTTTTTGTCCTATGTACACCTGTCCCGCATTCTTCAACCCTTAAAATGCGACATGATCTATGCTCTTCCCAATGGAAAGTGAGCAGAAAGGTTGTGTGTGGTCTCCGGGCTTAGCACGCAGTCTTTCAACAGGTGCTCACTGTGCTTGTTTTAATTGTGCCAGCCGAAAGCTGATGGTGATCAGATTCTGGAGAAGACAAGGCCTCGAGATCGAAGATTGCTACATGGAAGAGATCGCTGCCCACTCATCCTAAATTCTCATTTAGAGCTCTTCTTTTCTGAAACAACAGAGAAGTGAAAAGTAAAAAAAGAAAAGAACAGGTTTATTGAGGACGTGGAAAGGAGCACACAACCCATGGCACCTTGGGCTGTCGCCGTCACCCAGATATACAGGGATGGGGGTAGATGTGACCTTTGACTAGATGTGGTGTTTGGAGTGGGCATTTATGATGCATGAAGAACTGCTTGGACTTTTCTTCCTGCGCACAGGGAAAGGAAGGAGGAAGTTGTACTCAGGGAAGAAGAAGAAAGTGGCTGTCGGGATAAGCGTTCCCAATTGGCCTTCTGCCATGTTAGACCACTGCCATAATGTCCCATAATTTATTCTAGGGCAAAACTCTTTCAAGAACTATTGCATGAAAGAAAAGAAAACCTGTTATGTTGAGGATAACTTAATTTGAGTCTTCCTGTGCAAATGACTTGAATTGATTTTATCCCATAACCAAAAATGGAAGATGCCTTTTGTTTATACATCAGTAAGAACATACATCAGTAAGTTATACATCAGTAAGACCAGTAAGAACATCAAGATCCTCTCTGTGTCAGGCACTGTGCTGTGTAATGGAGAAGTAGAAATGAAGAATGCAGACTCATACAGCGCTGAGTCTAGCTCTCGACTTCATAACTTACATATTTTCTGTCTTCGAAAAACCTACTGTCCCCTCCCTATACACACAATGCAGTTTCCACTCTTCAACCTTATTCTTATATTGTTTTGTTTTTCAAGACAAGAGTCTCACTATGTATCCCAGGCTAGCCTTGAATTCACTGTGTATTCCAAGTAGCTGGCCTCGAATTTGTGGCGATCCTCCTGCCTCAGCCTCCTGAGTACTGGACTTACAGAGGTGTGCCGTCATGCTCAGATTTCTTGCATAAAGGTACAGTTGTGGATATAAAGTCATCATTGCTATCTGAATCCTCAAACTGAATAATTGACCAGTTTCTTATTTCATAGTCCCCTTCAAGGATGTAAATCTGGGGGCTGGGGATTTAGCTTAGCGGCATAAGTGCCTGCCTTGCAAGCATGTGGTCGTGAGTTCAATCCCTGATACAAAAAAAAAAAAAAAAAAAGAATGTAAATCTGTAGTTCTCAAGGCTTGTCAGTAGCAGTGCCCATGTCAGCTCCCATATAAAACTGAACATCACACTCTGCCCTACTACTGTGGGTCCTCCAATAACTACCTTTTTTTTTTTTTTTTTTTGAGAGGAAATCTTGCTAAACTCAGTAGGCTGGTATTAGTGCAGGTACAACAACAGAGCTGAGGAAATCACTCCTATCCATTTAAAAATTTTTTTTGCTACCCAGATCAAAGTCACAACCTGGAGTAAGGCAGGCACTTATGCCACTGAGCTAAATCCTGGGCACCCCTTCATTTAAATTTAAAGAGCATCCCAGGGCCATTCCTCCATCTAAGAGGTAGAGAATAACCTAATGAAAACCCAGGAGATCTTTGCCACTCTGGGCTAACTTTCAGTCACCTTATTAAAGGTTCTTGAATATGTACTACAGCTCGTAAGTGTAATTTATGCTGAGATGACAGCACCCCGTCATCACTGTGCCAGTCATGCCTAGAGACTCAATGGGAGGCACCTATGACAAGGTGTGGAGCCCTTAAATTCCAAAACCCTGATTTATCTGTGTGCCATGTTGTGCTTCTGTGAGCTGCTTTCTGCATGCAGTGGTTACTGCTCTCCTGTCAACCCAGCACCACTTTTCTGTTCATACTGTTTTTTGTCAGTATGGACTTACCCTGAGCACAACTTCCCGTGATCTTCAATAAACATAGTGGCTTTCTACTGCCATCAGGAGTGTGCACTTGCAATTCATTGCTTGTCTTACACAAGCACATGGATTTTACCTGCTGAGCTCATCATGCAGTAACAGGATCAAACTCGAAATCTTCCTGCCTCAGCCCCCCAGGGTGTGTGGCTGTCCTCTTCTTAAAAGGATACCTATCATTGGGTATAAGGTCCACCATAGCCGCTTCCAAATAGAGTCATATTCTGCGCTTTTGTGTGAATATGACTTTTAGGGCAATACACTATTCAGCATATGCCACTTGCCACGTAAAGGGGTTCTCACCAACCAATGAAATAATGTCTACCACCAGCTGCCAGTGAGAACCTGAGGCCTGCTAACAGCCATGTGAGCTTAGGAAGGACGCTTCCTCCTCCTCAGTTGAGCCTTGAAATAATTGTAGCCTCCAAGAGACCCTGTACTGGAGGCACCCAGCTAAGCTGTGCTGAAATCTCTGACCCACAGTAGAAAACTGAGAATATGATGAACACCACCATATTATGGGCAACTAAGTTAGAAATATAGGGCCAGGAACTTAGCTAAGTGGCATAAGTGCCTGCCTGGCAAGCATGAGGTCATGAGTTTGATCCCTAGTACAAAAAATTTATATATATATAAAGAGAGGGACTGAGCTCTCAA